ATTTTAAAATGATGAACTCCAGTAATGTGTATTCATAAACTGAAACAAAAAATTCAAGTCGGTCACTGTTGTAGTAATTGTACTCTAAGTACAAATAAATTATTGATAAGAGCATAATTTTTAATTACGGTCACACTTATTACCACACACTAATCATTTAAAATAAAGAATACTATATATCAAAATACAATCATATAAGTCAAAGTTTACTTATTTTCCCATGGCCCATACTGACTGTACAGATTATGGCCCATCATTTTCAGACCAAGATTAGTGGGCCCCGGGTCCAGTACTTTCAGATTCTAGGCAGATCGCAGATCTCTGGTGCTAATATAAACATTGTGTCAAATTTAATGTGTTTTAAATAATATCAAGCCAGAACTTGTCATTTTTCTAAATAAATTGGGAAAGATTACAAGGTAGATAATGTTTTGTTTTTGTTTTGTTTTTAGAAACAAAGCAGCGACACTCATTTTCAGGTGCAAAATCAATTGCCTATATTGCCCAGGTTATCCCACATACTGTACGCACAACTGAAAATTTTCAAAAATTAACTATGTAAATATCATACAGACAAGTTAAAAAATGCTCCACATAAAAACGGTAACAAGAGTTGTCCCCCTCAACTTTTTATATAGTATTGATTTTATTTAGTTCACAGTTACGGTTACCTCCCCTCGGTTTGAGGTATTTATGTAAACAGGTCTGCTTCTCAAAAAGTGGTAAATGTCTAGCTGGCGTAAAATTTCTAGTTGGCCTGTTTGTTTGCCAGGTCTGCTTCATAAGACAAATACATGACATCAGGTATATGCCTAATTATACCACAAAGTCCTTAGTAACTGTTGTAAATAACAATATATTATATACATGAATTTCATCTTGCTAAAAAAATTAAATTCTCGAGCGATTCTCAAATAAACCGACATGAAAATATGTTACTTTTCACATCTAAAGATTCCTTTATAATGGCAGAAGTTGTAATTTGTCCATACTTACAAATCTTGTACAGTGCATTCTAACGATCTCTCAGAACAGAATTGCTGTTCAATCCTGGCAAATCTAATGCTATTCTAATAAGTCACTATATTCTTCCCCCATTTTAATTGCTGTTAATTCCCCATCAGATGATTAAAGCTATGAGTATTAGTAATTTTTTCTTTCTTCTTTCTTGGCCAAATTTCCGTGACTAAATTATGCAAATAATGTATGTGCAAAACATGTCAAAAAGTCGAAGAAGCAAAAATAGGTACATGTACTTACCATTGTGGGACCCCTAGTTGAATTATAAGCAAAAATCTAATCTTATTATGAATGTGTGGTATAATAATCAAGTATTTGCCTTATAAGCAGACCTGGTTAACAAACAGGCAGGCTAGAAATTTTACGCCAACTAGAGTTACTAGACCTTTTACACTTTTTGAGAAAATTTATCAATTCAGACGCGAGATTTTCACACACATAAAGTTTCCAAAATATGGGTAATTTTCTAAAAAATTGCTTTAATCCCACAATTGCGCATCCTAGAATAGTATTACACTGTAATAGCAAGTTTGAAGAGCTGGCCCAAAGGGCCTGCTCGCAAAGAGAGCTTTATAGTCATGCGAGTACCTGCTAGATAGTGATGTTTTTGAAAACTTTCGCCCGAAGTACAATGTACCTATAGACCGACACGCGCTGACATATTTGTGTATTTGTGGTTGTAAACAATCGGTAATGTTTATGTTTCCCCAGGCAAAATTAAGCGTACGCGGAATCCTAGTCCAATATATTAGACGTTACAGGCTTGTTATAGTTTATGTCGGTCAAGCCTGACGTCTAATAGTTATTGCTCAAAAATGCATAGCATCATAAAAAATTTTAAAAATGTCTATTGTCTTGCCTTTCAAGCTTTATTCAAAAGCTTATCTTCCTTTCTTTCAATTTCATGCTCAATCATACACAAAAACACTCAAACAATGTACTTATCAATTTAAAATAAAATATAAACATCTATATATTTTTGTCTATCAGCCATACTGCTTCAAAGCAAGGTGCTTTACAGATTGATTCCAAACTTTTGAACGGAAAAATATATTCGAACACACTGACTGTGCATGGGCAATTATTTCGTTAAAAAAATATTTCGTTAGATTGTTCTGACTCAGTTAAACGCTTGCATTTGAATTAGCAAATCAGATTTCCCGCACTTTATGGCCGCCATTTGTTTATCGGCTGCAGGGCTTCCACTAGGAATTCTTTTTGGGAAGTCAGGACTAAGGCCCCCACGATTACACGTTTAAACGGATTCGTTTTAATTTTGATTCATAAACGTTTACGATATTGTTTACTGTTTAATCGAAATGACCATATTGTCTTACAAAATTTCTTAATCATTGCCTGTAATCATGGATTTTATCAATTCTAGTGGTTTATTCCAAAGTAAACAAACGAAAAATAGGTGTTTACAACCCTCCACACAGCATTACGGTGCAAAATCGCTCGTAAAATAATACATTTTTGGTAAAAAATGGGGTTACAATGCAACAAATGTGTGCTGACTCAATCGTGATGAGCCCTGCACATTCTTTATTTGTACATGTGTAAAAAATAGAAAGAAAGACATCATTTTGCGACTCAAATGGTGTGTATTGTATATAGAGGTACCACCGTTTAAACGGTATCGTTTCGGTTCTAAGCAATCGTGTAAACGTTTACAAAAAATTGAAAACGTGGGAGCCTTAGTCAGGACTTCCTTTCAAGGAATTTTGGAAGTCAAAAGGAATTTAAATACATGAGAGGATTTAATCATGATTTTTCGGATGTGACAGTTTAAATATTTTGACAAAAGGTATTTATTTTTTAGTTTTGTTCATAAATAGGTCAAAACTTATGTAAATACACGCTGTCTTCATTGTTTTTCGTTCTGCCCGATTTTCTGGCGGAACTTACTATATGGGTTTTTGAGCAATTTCGATATGACGTTGCTTTGCCCAGAAGCAAAAATATCTCAAAACGACGTCATATTTATAGGACTAGCGGAATCCTTGCTCTGAAATATTTGCGACATGCATACCAGGACACCGTAATATGCGTCACCAAGAACCTTGAGCATTGCACAAAAAATGATAATATAAAATTAAAAATGAATTATTATTTTAACCGATGTCCCCGTTCATACTCATCTATAGGCTTTGCCTTATTTCACAATATAAAGAGCTCGCTCTGCGGCTTTGCTTTATTCATATTATTGGGTACTCTTAAAAATAACTGTGATTCTAAAGTTTAGCCAGAGAACCTATACAGTTAGTCCTATAAATATGACGTCGCTTTGAGATATTTTTGCTTCTGGGCAAAGCAACGTCATATCGAAATTGCTCAAAAACCCATAGCATGTTCCGCCAGAAAATCGGGCGGAACGAAAAACAATGAAGACAGCGTGTATTTACATATTTTTTGACCTATTTATGAACAAAACTAAAAAATAAATACCTTATGTCAAAATAATTAAACTGTCACATCCGAAAAATCATGATTAAATCCTCTCATGTATTTCAATTCCTTTTACAGCCGATAAACAAATGGCGGCCGTAAAGTGCGCGAAATCTGATTGGCTAATTCAAATGCAAGCGTTTAACTGAGTCAGAACAATCTAACGGAATATTTTTTTAACGAAATAATTGCCCATGCACCGTCAGTGTGTTCGAATATATTTTTCCGTTCAAAAATTTGGAATCAATCTGTAAAGCACCTTGCTTAACCAGTATGGCTGATAGACAAAAATAGATTGATGTTTATATTTGATTTTAAATTGATAAGTTCATTGTTTGACAGTTTTTGTGTATGATTGAGCATGAAATTGAAAGAAAATATGATAAGCTTTTGAATAAAGCTTGAAAGGCAGAACAATAGACATTTTTTTAATTTTTTATGATGCTATGCGTTTTTGAGCAATAACTAGATCTATTAGACGTCAGGCTTGACCGACAAAAACTATAACAAGCCTGTAACGTCTAATATATTGGACTACTATACAGTAATCTAACTTCTTCATTAAATAGCCCTCACTGGCATGCACGAAAAAAATGGTTTTAATTTAATAGCGAGCTCGACGAGCTGGCCCGAAGGGCCTGCTTGCAAAGCGAGCTTTACGGTAACGCGAGTATTAGCAGGTGACTGCTAAGTGATGGTTTTGAAAACTTTCGTCCAAAGTACCGAATTGGACACATCGCAACCTTTCGAATTTAAAGATAACGATAAAAACTGAGGAATTCTGACTGAAAACGGATGTGTAGACTTGTCACCCGCGCACGTCTATGCCAATGGGAACTATAATTGGACAGGGAACCAGAATAACGGAAGCTGTGTATAAAAAATGAAAATCGAAGGCGCCATTTTGTTTGAAATCTGGTAAATAAAAACAATTTTTTGTCGATTTTTTTTGTGAAAACTATCTAGAATGGAAGAAAATGGTCTAACTAAGAAAATGAATCCGAACACCAATATCTTTTATTCAGTCGTTAACGCTGTACAGACGTTTAAAGTATTGTTTACGTGACGTCACAATGTAGCGCCAAACAGCACGTGCAAAACAAACAAATCAAGTACGCTACTTTAATGTCGCAAACGTTTTAAGTTTTACATTTATTTCACTTTAAATAATCTTTATTTCGCTTGAAAAATTATAGAGTGAAATAAAATAAAACAAAGTTTTATCAACGTTTTAAAAACTCGTTATTCATTTCACGACAGGGGCGGAGCCATATTTAACACAGTACGTGTGACGTCACACGCACTCGTTACTGCATTTGAAATAAAAATGAGCGATTATTTCATACTATTTCACGTTAAAAGTACATCGAGCTTGCTTTAATTTAATAATTTGTTACCCCACCCCCAAAATTTTGGCACAGAAAGCTACCTTAGTTTCACAGTCTTGACAGTTGTATTACATAAAATTGAAGTCTATTTTACTCATGATCATTAAGCATACAAACATATGGAAAAAAAGTTTTTTAACTTACATTCATTAACTCCTTGAATATTTGTTTTGTAAAGTTTTTTTACGCCCAATTTTTTTTCTGTCAAAAGCAGTGTAGCGTAAGAATCAAACGTCGTACCAATCAATTGCATATACATAGGTACGAAGCAACTAAATATAGGTTGAACATTACTAATTACGATTTCGGGTCAATTCGGAGCTTCTAACTAACTACCCAAGACATGTTTGTTCCATGCATTTTCGTTTCTTTACCGAAACGGCCCTACATTCAATATTCTTATTTAATTCCATTTTCAAAGTTGTAATTTATGACGTATCCTTTATAAAAAAAATCTCTATTGCGCTGAAATATATCTCCGAACGTTGCGCCGCCAGTTAATTTTTCAAAACAATATTTAATTCCAATTTTTTAAATTGATAAAACATACTTTTATTACACCACTTCAGTTAATATCATTTATGATTTACTTCTTCATATTACTATTTAGGACAAAAGTTTTCTTTTTAAATTCCGGCCGTTGGGCAAAAAAAATATCTCCGGTCCATTAAATTTCGCCTGCACACAATCCTTTACAACCTCAAAGTTGCAGCTATTTGATATTTGATTAAGGATTTTCATAACTTTCTTTTAAAATTTATTTATTCAAATAACATTGGTGTTAATCAATTTCATATATTAGTTATAGATAGATATATATCCTTTGGGTCGTCCGTGGCCGAGTGGTTAAGGTCGTTGACTTCAAGCCACTTGCCCCTCACCGCTGTGGGTTCGAATCCTGATAGGGATTTTGGATTCTTTCATGTGAGGAAGCTATCCAGCTAGCTTACGGAACGTCGGTGGTTCTACTCAGGTGCCCGTTCGTGCCTGAAATATGGCACGAAAGGGCACCTGAGGTCTTCCTCCACCAGTAAAGCTGGAACGTCGCCGAATGACCTATACTGTGTCGGTGTGACGTAAAACCTAAACAAACAAAACAAAATATATATTCTTTTATTCCTCCAAATTTGAAGAGTATAACATATATTACATGCAGAACGACATTGAAATCATATACAGCGTAAATAAACCACGTTCAGGTTTCCTAATAATAGTAAAAAATATATGCATGTGTAATATTATGAGCATAAGCCATCAGGTGTTTGAATTACATAAAGATTCTTTCCACAAAAGGATGCATATAACTTGTTGTTAAAGTTTAAGCTTAGATCTCGAATAATAAAATGTGTTCAACAAAATTCTTTAACAATAAATTTTAAATGGTTATAGAGCTTTGGGTTGGCTATTTAGCAGTCATTTATTATCAAAATTGAAAACATTAAGCTTTAATTTATCTTAGCATGGAGAGATAAATTTGGAAAAGTGTTGTATCTTTTTTATTATACGAGTTTAGTAAAAATGTACAATATAACGATATTAACACTGTCATATTATTGTCCTGATGACATCATTCAAGAGAATTGAACAATATAGATTAATGCTAGTACAAAAATACTATTATTACTGCTACTATTATTGCATTTTGACTTTGAATAACTGTTCACGATTTTTGCATATAGATTCGTGTACTTCTTTTATATAGATTCAATATCTTAAAGTCGAAAACGAAATTACTTTAAGAACTTGGTCTATGTTAGGCACATTTAATGCTATCGGGTCTGCCATATTAAACGATAGCCTATGCTGGTCGAATAAAAAAAATATAGGCTTCTGAATTACATAAGGTATTTGACACTTTGATACTGATGCTAATACAATATTGTTTGTCTTAAATCATGTACAAGTAACGTTAGCATACGATAATATCATTAAATACCAACAAATAAGTTCATATATATAAATATACATTACACAGTTCCAAATTATAGCATAGAAAATCGGGTAAATGTATTTCTTATGGAGCATTTTCAAGAGTGTGTACTGACGGCAAGTCGCTTGATTAAACACCAACGCTATAAGCTGATCCGTCTGTCTTTCTCGAGCACACATTATCCATTCTGCATACGCATTAATCCCCATAGTTTCAAACATGTAGGACCAAAGTGATTGTCGAATATCTGTCATTTTACTACAAAAGTTTAGAACATGGTCCATTATATTGAAGCACATGGCGTTGCACAGAGAACAACTCTGAATGTATTGTCTAGAGAACAAAATCCCGATTACCAATACAAGGGACATAATCCATAGCCGTACATCTTTTGAATATATTTCACGAGAGAAAAGTGCACATAGATTGTTGACCTTCGGCAGGAACTCTGCAGCTGATGGTCGAAGTTCCAAAAGGGCGTTAAGTCTTTCATATTTAGCAGGCATTGTTATATATCTTTTAATCACATTATTCCACTGACATTTAGATGGAAACATTCCGGTTGAGGTGTATGTTTGTAACACATGTAATAGGTTGTATTTCACTAGAATTCTATAGACATCTGGAATAAACCCCATAATTTGTTCGTCGCAGTTCAAATATCTAGTAAGATGATTCAAGAAGACGGTCTTAGCCAAATATCGAGTCGGTAGTCGACAGAGCTGGTCAAGGAATGTTAATTTTCTACATACGTTGTGCCCATTTTCCAAAATTATCTCCGCTGCGCCATGAAATTTCCATTTCACCAGGCATATAACCCTTCAGTGCATTTAAACATATACAATCTATGAAACATTTTATAACATATTTACTTAAAAGTGCTAAACAATCATTTAAGATGCTCAAATATAGCATATTGACTTTAAAAAAAGGCGTTGTGTCAATTTAAAATGAGAAAAATCTTGTTTACACTCTAGTGGCTACTGTTTTGATCCAAATAACCTGGAAATTGGACTGAAAATTTGTGTTGATGATTTCTAGGTCAAGTTGAAATATGCGTCACCTGCGATCAAAAACTAGGTCACACTGCCCAAATATGGAAATACTTTGTTAACACTCTAGTGGTCACATTTTTGACTCAACTGTCATCAAACTTTGTCAGGATGCTTGTCTTAGTAATTGCACCGATGACTTCAATTGGTCAGGTGATCGATATAGGGCCCTCTTTTCTTAAATTGTCCGCCATATAAAATGATATATATGCTATAGCTTATCAAGTGATTTAAAGTATGATTATTAGTTAGTTAATTTGTTTGTAAGTGCGCGCGCGCGTCTGCGTGCGTGTGTGTGTGTGTGTGTGTGTGGGGGGGGGGGTGTAAAAATCTGTTCATTCAAAATATACATTAATTAAAATTATTTGTTTATCTTAGCTGAGATACCTTTGTCAATTTACCACACTCTCTTTCAATATTAAAAGGGTAGCACGATCTATAAATAATTTCTCTGAAATGCTCAATTAATTCTTTTTAATTCATAGTAGGTAAAGGCAAAATTTTACGTTTTATACTAATATTCAGTCTTTTATTTCATGCTTTCCAGTGTTTTATTGTAATATATCAGATGATTATATTCTGATAAACCACTGATTTTGTCGCGTGTGACGTCACAAAGGAGAATGCGCGACGTTACGCGACAAAATCAGTAAAAAATACTTAAAATCACTTAAAAAGCATGAAATAAAAAGAAAATTTATTTGTTTTACATATAAGATTGAAATATATTTCATTCGTGAACACCAGCGTGGCTACGAAAAAAGGCATCGATTCAGTGTAATTGTTATTAATGGCATATAATGTACAATCATGTCCCATGCAGTGAATGACTGTGTCACCCGATATATGAAGTGCATGAATAAACAATTTGGAGCCATATTTGCATTTTATCGGGAATACATATTTTGATTATGGTACTCGAGAGAACTAACATCAAACCACTAAGCTATTTGTTTTGTATGTATTAAAAGCAACAGTAACCTCCCTTTTAAACTTTACCCCATTTGCAATTTTATCAGTGGAAGTCACTCTTGCCAAATTTATTTTGAGTACAACACAGGTGTTCGGCGCATTGATTGGTCACTACACTCCCCCCCCCATACCCACTATACAACCCTCTTAAAAAATGTCAAATGCATTATTTTTTCATTTAAAATGTGTTTTACTTCTTGATATATACTATAAAATCAATTTCCTTCAATCCCCCAAAAAATATAAAAAATATAAAAAATATAAATATATGATACATATAAATGATATATATATATATATATATCATTTTTATACCCCAAAAAATATAAAAATGATATATATATATATATCATTTATATGTATCATATATTTATATTTTTTATATTTTTTATATTTTTTGGGGGATTGAAGGAAATTGATTTTATAGTATATATCAAGAAGTAAAACACATTTTATATATATATATATATATATATATATATATATATATATATATATATATATATATATATATATATATATATATATATATATATATATATATATAATTTTTATATTTTTTTGGGGGATTGAAGGAAATTGATTTTATAGTATATATCAAGAAGTAAAACACATTTTATTTGAAAAGATAATGCATTTGACATTGTTTAAGAGGGTTGTATAGTGGGTATGGGGGGGGGGAGTGTAGTGACCAATCAATGCGCCGAACCCCTGTGGAGTACAACAGTTACTTCCATTTGAGTCCTTTTTCCATTTGCAATGTTATCAGGGGAATTCACTTTCACTCACTCGATTTAGAGCGCAACAGTAACCCGCCTATTGAGAGAAACAGTCATCCCTCTTTGAACCCTTACCCCATTTGCAATGTTATCAGGAGTGATCGCTGTAACTAATTTGAGCGCAACATCCACCTCCCTTTGAATTCTTACCCCATTTGCTATGCTATCAGAGGAGGCCACTCTAACCGTCTAGATTTTGAGCACAACAGTAGGCTCTCTGTTAAACCCTTATGACATTTACAATTAACTTTATTTTGAGTGCAACGGTAACCTCCCTTTGATCTCATACCCTATTTGATATGTATGCTTCATATTTGCCTATTTATTTATTATGAGATATATATCTTAAATTCAAAACTCTATTTTTAATTTTCTATTGCTTTCGGCCTCTCAACATTTATTATATATACAAATATATGCAAAGAAAACAAGGGAAGTATGGTAACGTCATTGAGCGACAATTGATTATTATATCTATCTAATTATATAATCATATACTATTGACACTGATG